TGATGTGGCGGCAAAAAAAGCCAATGGGATTTTGGCCTGCATCAATAGAGCATAGTGTCTAGATCTAGGGAAGTAATGCTACCCCTCTATTCTGCTTTGGTTAGACCACACCTGGAATATTGTGTCCAATTCTGGGCACCACAATTCAAGAGAAATATTGACAAGCTAGAATGTGTCCAGAGGAGGGCGACTAAAATGATCAAGGGTCTGGAGAACAAGCCCTATGAGGAGTGGCTTAAGGAGCTGGGCATGTTTAGCCTGAAGAAGAGAAGGCTGAGAGGAGATATGATAGCCATGTATAAATATGTGAGAGGAAGCCACAGGGAGGAGGGAGCAAGCTTGTTTTCTGCTGCCCTGGAGACTAGGACACAATGGAACAATGGCTTCAAACTACAAGAGAGGAGATTCCATCTGAACATGAGGAAGAACTTCCTGACTGTGAGAGCCGTTCAGCAGTGGAACTCTCTGCACCGGAGTGTGGTGGAGGCTCCTTCTTTGGAAGCTTTTAAACAGAGGCTGGATGGCCATCTGTCAGGGGTGATTTGAATGCAATATTCCTGCTTCTTGGCAGAAGGGGGTTGGACTGGATGGCCCATGAGGTCTCTTCCAACTCTTTGATTCTATGATTAAAAGTTTTGAGACTTGGGGAAATCGAATTCTTTTTGATGGAAGAACATTTCCCATTTTCTGGATGCTGATTTTTTCCCACTTGATGTCAAGATGTGTCCACAATCTTTTTGGCTTGTCCAGTATGTAATTCAGAACCAGAGTATTTCTTTTGAATTGGCATGGGGCTATTTGTACATTGTACACAAGATGGCAGTCGAAGGCAGCTACCGTTCAATAGAGGTTAGAAACAGAGAAGTGCATGTACTCACTTGTGCAGTGATGTCCTCCGGAGTCTGCTCTTCTCTGGACTGAGAATCATTTCATGAAAGCGACTTCTGTGTTGGATAGAGATGGCAATCAACCATCCGTGCGCCTTACCTGAAGGGTTTACTCACTCTCTCACATCTCACTGGTCTTGTAAAGCACAACTGCTGTTAGTACCCAGGAGCATGGCAGGACTCTGTTAGACAGAAATGGCACAGCATTTCTACTCATATAAAATACTGTTTGATGAACATGTGGAATATTGATAGCACCTGGGTAATGACTGTGAATGTCGTGATGAAATACCTAAGGGGTTATGATAATGACTGACTCATAACCATGTGAGGTGTATTGCAAAGGAGTCGCATCAGCCATTGTCTCTTATTTATGATCTGTCAGCAGGTGGTTATAAAACGGGGATGAAAGGTTCCATCTTTCTCTCTCCTGCATGACTCAGTCTGAGTATCTGCATGTGACTCTCCGAGAATCTGATTGTTTTGCAAAGACAAGTCTGTCTGAGTATCTGCACCCAATTCAAGGTGCAGGTTCTTACCTACAAAGCCCTGAACGGTTTGGGACCTGCCTACTTGCATGACCACATTTCTGTGTACGAACCCACACGATCTCTTCGATCATCTGAGAGGCTGAGAGGAGATATGATAGCCATGTATAAATATGTGAGAGGAAGCCACAGGGAGGAGGGAGCAAGCTTGTTTTCTGCTTCCTTGGAGACTAGGACGCGGAACAATGGCTTCAAACTACAAGAAAGGAGATTCCATCTGAACATGAGGAAGAACTTCCTGACTGTGAGAGCCGTTCAGCAGTGGAACTCTCTGCCCCGGAGTGTGGTGGAGGCTCCTTCTTTGGAAGCTTTTAAACAGAGGCTGGATGGCCATCTGTCAGGGGTGATTTGAATGCAATATTCCTGCTTCTTGGCAGAGGGTTGGACTAGATGGCCCATGAGGTCTCTTCCAACTCTTTGATTCTATGATTCTATCTGGAGAGACCCTACTCGCGCTCTCACCTGCATCGCAAGCGCGTTTGGTGGGGATGACAAAGAGGGCCTTCTCGGTGGTGGCTCCTCAACTCTGGAACTCACTCCCTAAGGACATCAGGCATGCCCCATCTCTGGCAGTCTTCAGGAGGAGCTTGAAAACGTGGTTGTTGCAGTGTGCCTTCCCAGAATAATGAACCCTTAGCATTATGTCCTCCAAAAGCACTTTATATCGATTTAGGTCTGCTTGTATGTCTCCATCAACGCCCCACCTCCTTTATCTTGTTCATGCCTAGCATTATTTTTTAATCTTCAATTACATTTGGCCCAGCCATAGATTTTAAATGTGCACTGTACCTTGTTCAATGTTTATGCTATTTGTGTATGAGATTTATTTTAATTGCTTTGTATTGTATTTGTTACTGCTTGTATTGCTTGTATTGTTGTATTATGGGCTCGGCCTCATGTAAGCCGAACCGAGTCCCTTGGGGAGATGGTAGTGGGGTATAAATAAAGTATTATTATTATTATTATCATTATTATTATTATTATTAAAATGCGTATTGGTTGATCAACCACAGCCAAAGGGTAGTGTAGAAGGGGCTTGGCACAGTGTGCTGTGGTTTAAGTTTCAAAGGCAGGTCCAGAAGCTTTATTCAAAGTTATCATAAATATGTTGATATTAAAAATTTGTCAGAAATGGTGCACACTACTTGAGTAGGTGGGGTGAGGTGAATTTCCTTAACATTAATACAGTATTGGGAGTTGTCGGTAAATACGAGCCAAGTACTGGTTGGCCAAGGGCTGCGTTGGTTCCGTTTTGGACGATCATAACCCATTAACTTTACAAAAGACCTGCTTCTGGTGGGAATGAAAACTGTTAGAACTGGTTTGTGGCTGTGAGTTGACACAGCTTTCTAAGGCCCCTTCTATTGCTGTATAATTAAGAATTTAAAAGCAAATAATCCACATTATCTACTTTGCACTGGATTATCTGAGTCTACATTGCCATATAATCCAGTTTGAAGGAGAGAATCTGGATTTTCCGTGGCTGTTTAGAAGAGATCCAAGGCCCCTTCCACACAGCCATATAACACAGAATATCAAGGCAGATAATCCACAATATCTGCTTTGCACTGGATTATCTGAGTCTACACTGTTGAAGCATGTAAAAATCAGTGGTGAGTGTGTTAACTGAAAAATGCACAGCACAAAACTGAGGTTGGGCCACGCCCAAGAGGCTAGCTGAGCCTGGGAGTTTTGGCAACAGTTACATGTTTAGATTTTCTGTGCAGGAACTTCCAAGACTTGTGCGCCAGCTGCGACCGTACCTCGTGAAGGCGGATCTGGCTAGGCTGGTCCATGCCTTAGTCACCTCCCGATTGGACTACTGTAATGCACTCTACGTGGGGCTGCCCTTGAAAACGGCTCAGAAATTCCAGATGGTCAAACGGGCGGCAGCCAGGATGCTAACTGGTGCTCCTTACAGGGAGAGGTCAACCCTCCTGTTCAAGGAGCTCCACTGGCTGCCATTTATTTTCCGGACCAAATTCAAGGTGCAGGTTCTTACCTACAAAGCCCTGAACGGTTTGGGACCCGCCTACCTATGTGACCGTATTTCTGTATACGAACCCACACGATCTCTTCGATCATCTGGAGAGGCCCTGCTCGCGCTCCCACCTGCATCGCAAGCGCGATTGGTGGGGACGAGAGAGAGGGCCTTCTCGATAGTGGCCCCTTGACTCTGGAACTCACTCCCTAAGGACATCAGGCAGGCCCAAATTTTGGCAGTCTTCAGGAGGAGTTTGAAAATGTGGTTGTTCCAGTGTGCCTTTCCAGAACAATGAATCCTCAGCACTTTGTCCTCTAAAGCACTTTATATCGATTTAGGTCTGTTTGTATGTCTCCACTACACCTACTTTCCTATCTCGTCCATGACCAGCATCATTTTAAATTTTAATTACATTTGGTCCAGCCATAGATTTTAAAGTGTTCTGTACTATTGTCAATGCTTATGTTATTGTCTATGTGATTTATTTTAATTGCATGTATTGTTATTGTTATTGTTTGTATTGTTGTATTGCGGGCTCGGCCTCATGCAAGCCGCACCGAGTCTCTTAGGGAGATGGTAATGGGGTTTTTTTGGGTTTTTTTTTTTGTCGTGTCAGGAGTCGCTCCTGTTGTGAGAGAATCTGCCGTCTGCAAGGACGTTGCCCAGGGGACGCCCAGATGATTTGATGTTTTTATCATCCTTGTGGGAGGCTTCTCTCATGTCCCCGCATGAGGAGCTGGAGCTGATAAAGGGAGCTCATCCGCCTCTCCCCGGATTCGAACCTGCTACCTGTCGGTCTTCAGTCCTGCCAACACAGGGGTTTAACCCACTGTGCCACCGGTAGGTAAAGATAGTCCCCTGACATTAAGTCCAGTCATGTCTGACTCTGGGGTGTGGTGCTCATCTCCATTTCTAAGCCGAAGAGCCAGCGTTGTCCATAGACACCTCCAAGGTCATGTTGCCGGCATGACTGCATGGAGCGCCGTTACCTTCCCGCCGGAGCGGTACCTATTGATCTACTCATATTTGCATGTTTTCGAACTGCTAGGTTGGCAGAAGCTAGGGCTGACAGCGGAAGCTCACGCCGCTCCCCAGAATCGAACCTGCGACCTTTTGATCAACAAGCTCAGCAGCTCAGTGCTTTAACCCACTGCGCCACCGGGGGCTCCTGCGCCACCGGTAGCGGGGTATAAATAAAATTATTATTATTATTATTAAGGTAGCTTGAAAAAGTTTCTTCAAATGGACACCCAAGGACCGTTAGGATCTCTCTCAAAGGGCATTGTGTGAGTCAATGTAACATGACTGTATATATGTTGCTCTGCATAACAAAGAGTAAATACCTTGTTCTTCACTGACCATTTGTGTGGCATATCTTTTATCTAGCAAGAAGGTGTGTAGATTGGTAAAGACGTGAACTATGTGTGATTTTCATTCCGCCACATACACTGCTATAATCCAGTTCGAAGGACATAATCTGGATTTTATATGGCAGTGTAGAAGGGGCCTAAGTCACCACTTACAGAACAGCATCTGTATTTATAATTCTACCCTTTTCACAAAGTACAAAACACAGTGTGGTCCACAAATATTTCATTTTATTCATTTCTCTGCTTTCCCCCTTGGCTGCTATTTCACAGGGTGAAGAGGTGCTCTCTGCTTCTCCAAAGCGGAAACTCAGAACTGAAGTTTCATGAAGATCCATTGTAACACGCAGCTACCACAAGAAATCCAACAGACACCCTGTTCAGCTTTGCTGTGCTTTTCTATTACAATTCCTGTTCCAGAAAGCAGGATCCCTAGTTCAAGCATCTCCAAGTGAGCCCCTCTCGCTACTTGAGCAAGACTTTTAACCCCTGGACTCAAGTGGCTTGATATCTGCACCAGATACCAATATTTTAAAGTGACCCAGCTTTAAAAAAATGTATAGCTTCTCATAAATAGTGAAAGAGTTCAAGTCTTGTTGGATAGGGCAGGGGAAGAGACTGGCCGTGAGCAACCCACATTTCAGGATGGGCTCCACCATGTGATTGGGAATATAAACTTAGATACAAGCATCTTTTTTCCAAAAACCAGGAGGGCAATGAGCACGAGTAGCACTCCCGTGCAAAAAGGTCAATTCAGGACTATTACATTCACATTGTAGGTCTCAAATGATCGGGCAGATCCATGACCGGGAAGTACCGTAATAAGAGAAGGACCCTGATGCCGTCTTAGGAGGAGAATAATTAACCCAGAGCAAAATTCTACAGGAAAAGCAAAGCAAAACATCAAATCTGTTGAGGAGGTTCTTGACCTCACTGTTACACATGTCCACTGATGGAGCAGATAAAGGTCCCTACAGCTCAACTGATACTTTTGTACCAATTGCTCAGCAAGTCCAAAGGATCCTCTCGTCTGAGCCCAACAGTAGGAGCACCCAAGATGTCAACGGGGGATGCATAGCTCTGAAGTAAGTGGTCTGCTTCTGCAGTTCCCTCAGAAGAAAAGAAAGCCTTCTGCTGGCCCCAGATGCAGCCAGCCGCTCTTCTGCAGCTACTCATCCCACAAAAGGAACACGTCAAGACAGCTCCCAGGAGATCGGTCGTCAGATCCTAATGTGATAGAAGAAACGAATGGGAGAGAAAGACCTCACCATGCCCGAGAAGGGCCTTTCAGAGATCCGAAAGGTCCCCTTTAGACAACAAATCCCAGAATCCCCTATATCAGTGTTTCTCAATCTTCCTAATGCCGCAACCCCTTAATACACTTCCTCATGTTGTGGTGACTCCCAACCATAACATTATTTTCGTTGCTACTTCATAACTGTAATTTTGCTACTGTTATGAATCGTAATGTAAATATCGGATATAAAGGATATATTTTCATTCCCTGGACCAAATTTGACACAAATACCCGATACGCCCAAATTTGAACATTGGTGGGGTCAGGGGGATTGATTTTGTCATTGGGGAGTTGTAGTTGCTGGGATTTATAGTTCACCTACAATCAAAGAGCATTCTGAACTCCACCAACAATGGAATTGAACCAATCTTGGCAAACAGATCTCCCATGACCAACAGAAAATACTGGGTTTGGTGGACACTGACCTTGAGTTTTGGAGTTGTTGTTCACCTACATCCAGAGAGCACCGTGGACTCAAACAATGATGGAGCTGGATCAAACTTGGCATGAATACTCAATATACCCAAATGTGAACACTGGTGGAGTTTGGGAAAAATAGACCTTGACATTTGGGAGTTGTAGTTGCTGAGTTTTATAGTTCACCTACAATCAAAGAGCATTCTGAATTCCACCAATGATGGACTTGAGCCAAACTTGGCACACACAACTCCCACGACCAACAGAAAATACTGGAAGGGTTTGGTGGGCATTGACCTTGAGTTTTGGAGCTGTAGTTGTACATCCAGAGACTCAAACAATGATATATCTGGACCAAACTTGGCACAAATACTCAATATACCCAAATGTGAACACTGGTGAACTTTGGGGAAAACGGACATTGACATTTGGGAGCTGTAGTTGCTGGGATTTATAGTTCACCTACAATCAAAGAGCAGTCTGAACCCCACAAATGATAGAATTGGGCCAAACCTTCCACACACAACCCCCATGACCAACATGTGTTTTTTTTATGGTCTTTGGCGACCCCTCTGACAGTCCCCTTGCGACTTCCCCAGAGATCCTGACCCACTTAGCTTGAGCCAAAATAGTAACTTGTCCACTTATATGTCAGTGACTGCTACTTTCCTTGCATTTTCCTAGAGCTGAAAACAAGACCCACCAGTTTATGCAATTTGAGAATGGCTGGATATCAAGATAAAGACATGCCAAAATTTCCAGTTAATTGGCAGAACTAAATATAAAATTATTTTTTTCACTTCAAAGTCCACCTCAGCAAGCAAGAATCCAAAAGTGGCAGGCTAAAACCCAGCACCTCAATCCATGGCTGGTACCAAATGAGAGACTCCTCCCTGGACACACAGAAAACTGGGCGACTTGGAAGGCGCTGAACAGACTCATATAATCCAGTTCAAAGCAGATAATGTGGATCATCTGTTTTAATAATCTCGATTATATGTCAGCATAGAAGGGGTCTAATAGTATTTCTACAAGTCTCCCAAAAGCACTATTAATACTTAATCACATTAGAGAATGAATCCACTTTAAATCTGGTTTCTGCCTCCTGCAGAATTCTGGGATTTGTAGTTTAGTGAGGCTGTTAACAGCTCCTCCTTAAACTACAAACCCCAGAATTCTGCAGGAGGCAGCAACTGGATTTTAAGTGGATTCATTCTCTAGTGTGATGATGTCTTGTAAACAAAGTGGATGTCCATATTCTGGGTTATATGGCTGTGTGGAAGGGCCCTTAGAATGATGCCCCTTCTACACTGGCATATAATCCAGTTTCTGACCCAGAGTATCTGCTTTGAACTGGATTATATGGCAGTGTACACTCATATAATCCACTTCAAAGCAGATAATCTGCGAACAGGTACTGAGGGTCCTTACACATAGCTGCAAAACCAAGGCAGATCATCCACAATATCTGCTTTGAACTTGGTTATCTGAGTCCACACTGCCATATAATCCAGCTCAATGTGGATTTGATACAGCTGTATGGAAGGGGCCTGGGTTATATGGCAGTGTAGATCCAGACTGGGGATTTGGTCTTCCTCATCTCCCCAGTACTCCATTTGTAATCCCATTTCCCCCCATAGCTTTTTAATATCCCCCCCCCCCTTTTCACAGGTCTGGGGAGGATATTAAGGAAAGAAAGACATAATCGTAGCATAACATAATCTGACTGGTAGCATTAGGAGCTGTATGTTTGGAAAGCAAACCATGACCATCTTTGCTGATATTTTCTCACCAAGAGTCCCAAGGCTCAGACTGTGTTCTTGCAAAAACAAAAGAAAAAGGACGGAAGACAGATGACACTCAACAACACCATAAGCCCTGGAGAAATCAAATTTCCACAAGCTTTAATGAAGATGTCAAGATCACAGGTTCTTCCGCCAGATGAGGCACAGCTCACCTCCTTTCCTCCCTCGCCCCGCCAAGGAAGGCTTCAGCAACACAAAGATCACACAGCAACACAAAAAAGGCACACCAAAAACACACAGGATTCATGCCCCAGGTGGGAGAAGGAAAAAAGGAGAGTGAGCTCAATTGCACACCCATATTCATTCTGATCTTACTGTTTTGGCCTGGATGGGGGAAAGGAAGCACAGAGAGAAGGCAGACCTGTGATGCAGGTTTCTGGATTGTCGGTTGTGTTTTTACCATCCCTGGTAAATTCTGTAACAAGAAGCAGGTGACTTTTCCCTGCCTATTTTGCAAAGTTTGTTTTCTCTTATGCAAGCAGCAGACCTGTCAATTTTGAAAAGCATGCACATTACTAAGCCACTTAGTAAGAAAACTGCTACGAGATCTGACCATAAATCCAATGCTGACTCCTCATTCCTAGCCAATCAGCTAAAAATCATCAACAACCTTCTTATTAGGTCCTTTCTATGTATCGTTGAAGGCTTTCATGGCTGGAATTACTAGCTTTTTGTGAGTTTTCTGGGCTGTACAGTCATATTCCAGAAGCATTCTCTCCTGACGTTTCGCCTGCATCTATGGCAGGCATCCTCAAGAGGTCGTGAGGTCTGTTGGAAACTAGGAAAATGGGGTTTAGATATCTGTGGAATGACCAGGGTGGGGGGAAAGAACTCTTGTCTGTTGGAGGTAGGTGTGAATGTTACAATTGGCCACCATAATTAGCATTTAATGGCCTAGGAGTTTCAAGGTCTGGCTTCTTACTGCCTGGGGGAATCCTTTGTTGGGAGGTGATTAGCTGGCCCCGGTGGATTAGCTGGAGCTCCCGGTGGTGCAGTGGATTAAACCCCTGTGCCGGCAGGACTGAAGACCAACAGGTCGCAGGTTCGAATCCGGGGAGAGGCGGATGAGCTCCCTCTATCAGCTCCAGCTCCTCATGCGGGGACATGAGAGAAGCCTCCCACAAGGATGATAAAAACATCAAATCATCCAGGCGTCCCTTGGGCAACATCCCTGCAGACGGCCAATTCTCTCACACCAGGAGTCACTCCTGACATGACAAAAAAAAAAAAAAAAAAAGCTGGCCAGATGAAAAAAAAAGCTGATTTTTCTTGTCTGGAATTTCCCTGTTTTTGAGTGCTGTTCTTTATTTACTGTTATGATTTTAGGAAATGAACAATATCTGGCTCTCAGTATTTAAAAAAAAACCCTTCTAAAATGAACCTGAACATGAGGAAGATCTTCCTGACTGTTAAGAAGAGCTGTTAAGCCGATGAATAATTAGATAAGTCCGGTGGAAGCTCCATCCTTGGGAGCTTTTAAAAACAGAGGCTGGATGGCCATCTGTTGGGAGTGCTTTGACTGTGCTTTTCCTGTATGGAAGAAGGGGGTTGGACTAATGGTCCTTGGGATCTTTTTCCAACTCTATGATTCTATGATATGGAGTACAATGTTTCCCTGTTCCATATTTGAGCAGAAGGTACTACTTTCCTCCCATTTTGCAATTAAGCAGCTATAAAAGTCAAGTTGGGAGGCGCATGTGTGTATGCGCACTGCCTCCTCACAAGCAACTCCAGCTGGGAATAGAATTCAGGAGGAGTCACCATGGAGACTCTCTGCCGCTTCTATTTTTTACTCATTCACTTTTTCAGTCACATCACAGAGAAATCACTGGCCAAACTGGGAGACAGACGTCTTGCTCAATGACACCCTAACACTTCTCAAGCCTGGTTATCTAGCATTCATCTGGCAAGAATTCTTGGGGATTCAAAACCACAAAGCACATAAAGTTTAAGGCATCACAATATACACATTCAGATTCCCCCTGCTAGCCATTGAGATAGGCAGTCTAGCAACTACTGGCTCCTTCACCAAATGTGTGATTTGTGTTCCCACAATCTTTCCTTGTCACTGAGTGATGAAGACATTATTAGCATCCTCTACAGCAGACATGGGCCAACTTTGTTACAGTAAGTCGTAGCAGGATCAAATGTGTGTTAAAGAAAAACCTTGTGATGTTAATTATCATGTACAGCTGGTAATGTAGGTCAGCCAGCATGTTTGGGCCACACCCGATGGGGTATAACTGTAGGTATAAACAATCTGAAACCTCCTTATTCATGGATTCTGTATCTATGGATTTAAGCATCATTTCAAGGTGCAGGTAATCACCTATAAAGCCCTAAACGGTTTGGGACCCGCCTACCTTCGTGACCGTATCTCCCTCCATGAACCAACTCGGGTCCTCCGATCCTCTGGGGAGGCCCTTCTTTTGCCCCTGCCAGTTTCACAAGCTTGCCTTGTACACACAAGGGAGAGAGCTTTTTCCTCTGTGGACCCCCCGGCTCTGAAACTCATTACCTGGAGAGATCAGGAAAGTCCCTACCCTAGAAACCTTTAAAAAGAACCTTAAAACCCGGCTCTTCTGCTGTGCCTTTGGTGAGTAGGCATACAACCTCACACTGTCATTGGAGTATATATCCCCCCCCCCCGCTTTGTGGGAAAGCTTGATTCCACAACCCCCGTTTTAATGAGCCCTCCTTCACAAATA